ATATTTAATTCTACATTTCTTCTTATAACTTTTTATTGTATGTAGTTTGAGAGAGAAATATGTGATAAATATACTAAATACCTCAAAAATATTATATCACATATATAAAAAGTATATACAATATTCTATATTATTCTTGAAAAAATGTTTGAAGCCACTTTTCTAAACTACGAAAAATATGTCAAAAAATACTTAAGTTTAACCTCATACATGTGTGTGTATATATATAGAGCTCCTTAGTCTTTGTCTAATGTTTAAAATATCTAAAATATCATAAGGGTTAATAATTGTTAAAAAAATTAGTATTTAGATGAGTGAAAATTATTTTTTTTTAAAAAAATTAACAATGATTTATATGGCGATTAGACAATTAACTTGTTTTAAGAAAAAGAATGATTTATATTTGCGATTAGACCATTAACTTGTTTTAAGAAAAAAAATTTTGTTACAATAGTTTTTTAGAGAAAAATATGTTAGAATAAATAGATAAGAGATGAGATTTTTAAAATTTATAGGGATCTATATAATAAGATTTTTCGATATGGAATTAAGTGTGAACAGAAGGGTGAATAGATTAAAGATGTGATAAGATTTCTTCTATGTAGGTTATCTCAATAAATCAGCCAATTTATTTCTCTATTCATAAATGTCCAACAATATCTATTTTTTAGGACACTTTTTATGAGATTGGCGGGTGTTTTATAAATTGGCGCCAAATATCTTAAAAGGTTATTCTTTTAATATATAGATAAATAGTAAGTGTTTTAGTGGGTCCCTCATTGTATTACTATTTATGGAAAGTTAGTTCCAAATATTATTTATTTTATTAAACGTGCTTCAACCTTCATTAATTATTTTTTATTTTTTTAATAATAGGTTAATAGTAAAAGTGGATATAAATTTGTTATTACCATTTATAGATAGACATTATAAAATATTTTGTCTGTTTTGATTTCTCATTAAAATAAGAGTAAATTTCTTTTTACATGTACATGATATGTTGAATCACGGTGAATTATTTATGATGTATGTTAAATAATAATTTATATTTAAAGTCTTCCTAAAAATATGAAGATACTAGACAATAATACGGTACTTATTAAAATAAAAGAATGGTTAACAAATAAAGAAATTATAAGTATATGTATAGAAAATAATAGTTAATAAATAAGATTACATTATAAATTATAAAACCAGACAAGTAAGAAATAATATATTCAAGTGTCAAAATACGATCTAAATTACATGATAAATTCAAACAAACTGTAATAAAATGTGGTAAGATAATAAAATAATTTGAGAATTTTTTTATATCCCAACTATATATATTTGTGCATTTAGTACATGATGTTCCAATTAAATCAATTTAGTTACTCAACTTTTCGTTTATCAATAAATTTTGGTCCACATCTTTAGATTTCATAAAAAAAAATAATGGTTTTAGAAAGAAATTTGTTAAATTCATGAAAAACTATATAAAAAAACTAAAAAAAACTATATAAAAAAATCGTTAATACTATGTCAATTTGTTCTATTAATAATAAAAACTAAAGAATATATATATATATATATATATATAGGAATCTATATCTGTATAAAAAGAATTACCATTTTTTAAAAATAGTAAGTTAAAGCTTTGTCAAATCTTATCAACATTAATTACATACTATTTATAATAGTTTTTCTTTGTTAAAAAATAAAATAAAATCATGCAGCATTTTATGCTGCTCTTGAATGGTGGAAGTTGTTACCTTTTTTATGGTTAAAAAAATCAGTCAGTATATTGCAAAACAGTTTGAAGAGATACACATAAATCATAACACACTTAAAAAGATCGCCGATTAATTTGTATCCTATTTTGATGGATAGATACAGGTATAAAATAAAATTAAAAAAATAATATAGGAAAAGGTGGTTTGATTAATATAATATTTGTATGTAAATTAAAAATTTATGAAATTATTAACTATTATATTCACCTCATAAATTAATCCAAAATAAATGTTGCAAAACAGTTTGATGGAGAGATACACGCATAAATCAGAACACATTTAAAAAGATCGCCGATTAATTTTTATCATATTTTGATAGATAGATACACGTATATTATAAAAATGAAAAAATGATGTAGGTAAAGGTGGTTTGATTAATATAATATTTGTATGTAATTAAAAAATTATGAATTTCTTAACTATTACATTCACTTCATAAATTAATCCAAAATAAACGTTAGATTATTTTTAACAATAATACAGGTATATATTTTTAACAATATACACGTGAGATTTTCATAAATTAATCCAAAATTAACGTGAGATTTATTTTTAACAATAATACAGAGTATTTATTTTTAACAATATACATGTGAGATTTACGTGAGATTTATTTCAAAATCCTATTATTTTTGTATAAAAATGGAATCTAATATATGTATATAATAAGAATAAATTTTTTAACATGTTGTCTGAGTAAACATGTTGTCTGAATAAATTTATATATATATATATATATGTTAACTTTAAGTGTTTTTAAATATATTTTTCTTATAAAATAGTTTAAAAAAATTTAGGCAATTTCACATTTTTCAAGAATAATATATAATATTTTAGGTACTTTTATTTACATTATATAATAGTCAATAATTCTTAATGTATTTTCGGTTGTAATATTATTAACACATATAATATTTTAGATACTTTTAAAAATATTTGGACAAATTTTTTAGACTCTAGATTAAAACATGTTTTCTTTACAAAATGGTTTAGAATAATGTTAGGCGACTTCACACATATTTCAATAATAAAATAGAATATTTCATATACTTGTGCATATGTGATATAAGATTTTATATCATATAAAAAGATAATAAGATTTATTATTCCCGATAAAAAACATTGAATACATATTTAATTTTAGATATAAAATTCCATTTTATTTGTTATATAATACTTCGATTTGCATTAATCTTAGTTGTAAATTTGATAAATCAAGCATACAATTAGGACTTAAAAAGAACTAATATTTAACTCTAGAAATAAATTATGTCATAATTCTCGATATCACCTCAATATTTATTTTATATATACCATTATCTCAATATTTATTTATATATTATATTATATATATATATATATATAATGTCATAATTCTCGATATCACCTCAATAATTATTTTATATATACCATCATCTCAATATTTATTTATTTATATTTTATATATATAATGTAAATTTTATCATTTTCACTCAATAAAGTGCAGATAATATCTTTATTTAGTCTCATAATATTTTAGATATTCTTAAAATATTATTTAGAAATTTTTGTACACATTCTATATATATACATTTACATATAAATGGATACATGTGCATATATATCTTAAATTTAAATATTGTTAGACATGTTTTCATGAAAAAATAATGTAGAAATTTTTCGATGACTTCACATCTTTTTAAATAGTTTAGACATATTTTCTTTACAAAATAGTTTAGAAAAATTTTAAGTGACTTCAATCATTCAATAATGATATATAAAATTTTAGATACTTTTCCTACGGTACATAATATTTTATGCGTTTTTAATATTTTAAATATAAATTTTCAAAAATTCTTTTATACAAGATAATTTTATGTATACGACAAATTATATCATATACTAACTCCACATTTATAATTTATAATTATTAGTTAATATTGTTTATCCTCCTCTTTAATTTATAATTATTATTTAATATAATTTACCCGGCACGAGATACGCACTAGTATACTTTTAGGCTTTTAATTCTAAACTTTATATTGTTGCTTCTCGAGTTACAAATAAAAAGACACAAGATACTCATATATAATGAGAAATAAAATATACAAATATAAACATTGTATATAGTAATCCATTTTAATTGCATATAAAAATTATTTATTCTAATTATGTTTCCTTAATTCATTTAAATTTAATAGTTGCGGCCACGATACTAGTTACTAATAATTCATTTAGGGTTCGGATACGGATTTTTAGACACAACAGAAATCGTGCGCCTCTTCTTCTCAGTTCTCATCTTCTGGCCACTCCCGTCTCTCTTCTCAGTCAGTCACCAACCACCAGCCGGCAGCCACCATCGTACCATCTACCTATCTCTCTATGAAATCGCGTCGCCTGACTCGCCTCCGGCCTCAGTCTCATTCTTTCTGATCGCGCCTCCCCGTCTTTGAGAATTGAGACACAACCTCTGACTTCTCGCCGCCTCCGAGCCTCTCTGCTTCCGACGCCTCGCCGTCTCGCCGTCGCCGCCTCGACACACTCCACTGCAGATTTAAGGTAATTAGTAACTATTACATTTTAAAAAAATTAAAGAATGCTAATTGATGTGGTTTTTTTCTTTGAAATTGATGGGGTTTTATCTTTGAAACAAATGCTAATTTGTTAAATATGCTTTGTATGTAAATTAGAATTAAGTTTAGGATCTGATGAGAAATGTTGAATTGATGCTAAACTGTTGATGAATTCATTATTAAAATCATGGTTCTGTTGTTGTAAAAGATTAGCATTATCAAATACACAGCAATCTTTGCTTCTTACGTTTGTGGCTATCTCAAGTTTGCTGGTGGAAGTTTGCATTGTGGTGAGCTGGAAGTTCAAACAGATTCCTGTTGCTTTTAGCTGTAATTGGAGTTCGCTTATGTAGTATGTTAATGATTGTCTTTATCTTTTTATATCAGTGTTAGTTGTTCCATTAGTGTTTTGTTGGATGTGTATTCTTAAGGATGTTGCATGTAGTATCCTTAGCTATTTGTATGTAATATGGGGATTAGTGTGTCCTGTGGTTGTAAGACTCTTGTTATTTATGAGAAATCTCCTAACATTTTGAAAAAAAAAAAAAAACAAAAACGATACACAGTATATAATAAGGCGGGCCAGGGCGGGGCGGCCCGCCCCGGAGCGTGTCAGGTTGCGGGGCGGCATTCCTGGACCCGTGGCGGGTCACGGGCCAGGTCGGGGCGCGGGCCTATGGTCGCGGGGCAGGTCCGGGTACTGAACTACCCGACCCGGCCTGCCCCATTGCCATCCCTAAACACCATATAGTATATGAAACATAAAACTATTTATTAACGTTTATCGTTAAGGCAATCAATCTCTGAACCCTTGAATTGGGAGCAGCCGTGTCTGGTCAGCTGTTTCCCGTCTCAAATGTTGCCCTGCTTAAGAAGGCTGTAGGTATATCTATCCTTGGCGTATCTCAGACAGCACTTGCTCTTGCAACAGCCTTTTTACAGGTGTGCAGCATACCAATTCTCAATGTACTAATGAAATTGCTCTACTTACATTATAATTCAGTTGGACTGCATATCAAACATTGAAGCTTCACAATTCCGCACGCCTACTCTCACAGAGCCCTAAATATTGTGTGATTTTCTGTATAATTTACTCAACTATTTATGCTATTATTTATTGCAAATAAAATTGATGAAATTAGTTTCATTCAGATCTCAAGAGTTGTCAGAAAAAAGGGAGCCATCGCAGGGTGAAATAATGTAAGTTTTTTTTTTTTTGAATTATAAGAATCGTATCTGTGTTTTAATCAAGCACAATGGCGACATGTGATCCATATAGCCGATCCCATTTAGTGGGATTTTAGTGGCTTGTTGTTGTTGAATTATAAGAATAGTGTTTGTGGTCTGAATTCCACTTACCCAAAAACCTTCAGTCTTGACATTATTTTATCCATCTGATGTGTTGGTGATATTAGGAGATATTGGATAATCTTCTTCTACTTATTGGGAAAAGTAGAAATAAATGGCTTTTGTTGTTAAAACCAGGGGAGCTATTGAATTGGAACTTCGTTGTCCGAAAATTGTTAATGGGATAGCTGCTGATCCCCAACCAGATTGGAGTATTGACAACTTACTCTCGGAGCTTGATTCTATATACCAGAAGCAAGATGTGGCTCCAGATTTTGCTGGACCTTTTACCAAAACACGACCTACGTATGTTCTTACCCTTCTTGTTAGTTTGTTTCCATGGTGTCAGTTTATGATTGTTAATTGAATTTCACATACAATTCAGAGCTTCTAGAGACAATTCTCATCTTGCCCGAGGCTTTCTTATGCACGTGTCCGATGAAAGTGGGTCAAGCGACACTGATGAAGATTGTGAACAGGTGCCCAGTAGTTCTTCCATGGTTTCTGGGAGAAGATTTGTTTGTGATGAGCTCTACATGAGGTTTGAGCTTGCAGCCTTCTAGTTTAATATCAGTAATGGAATATAAATTTCAGAGCGTAGTGATAGTTTGTAATGTTATCACCTTCTTTATATTAGTGGCAGAATATGAAGCAGTCTAATGTGGCTCATGCTCTAACTGATTTTTTTTCCTTCATTTTGTTTTGTTAATTAGCTCTGGGTAACATTGCCATTCAATATTATATAAAACATACGAAACATGTATAGTATGTGTTATTTGATCAACTCTGACGCATCAGCAAGTATAATCAGATTTGAATATGAGCTGCTTGTCATGAAGTGTGCCTCTGAAGTGCTTCTTAGAAGATCAAGGAAAGAACCTGTTTCCAAGAGATTGTGTAGATCTGAGTTGTCACATTGTGTTGATTGAAAGTATCTCTGGCTTTTCGGTGGTATGGAATATGAATTTTGGTGTGGGTGGGGGCTTATGATAATTGCAATTATTTTTCAAATATCAGATCAAAGATGGATTAGAACATGTAGATTTGCGCGAGTGGGTGGGTGGTATTAATATTATTGCAAGAAATTACTGAAAAGTACTGAGCACAGATGGGTTAGAGTTGAATATCAATTACTAGTTCTGGTTGAGCCATGAAGCAATTGTAATCTTGCCATATGAATCTAACAGTGGCTAATCATAGCTGTATGGATCATATAGATCTTGTTATCATTTCTTGTTCCTCAGTCAAATGTTCATAATTCCCAGGGTCTGGAGGTGAATGGCAAGTGTCTAATACTTCAAATCATACAGATTTACCATACACGAGTTAAGATGATGTAAAAAGTAGTTGGTATAATCTCCCACGACTTGTTTCTTAGAGTTGCACGAAATGTAAATATGTGCTTGAAGTGTAGTTTCCCCCCAAATTTGATTAAACTTGGACGTTACTAATGCGATGGGCTGATGGCTCAATTCACATATTATGGTTCAATTATCATCTTATTTTCCCCTTTCCTTCTTGAATTGGCAGTGACGTTTCTGATAGTGGGTGTCCTATGATGGATACAGTGAGCTTAGCTGATGGTGCTCTCCATGAGCTAATCGATGAATTTCAGCTAGCTATAACAGTGAGTAGAACAACTTACTGAAATTGTGCATTTGTTAAAGAATTGGTTATAAGAATACTGTATGTAGAACTTTTTCAGTCAATTTTAATATGATGTGCTTGATGGTAATGCCATTTCTATCATTGAGAATTGGTAGTGCATGATGATTAGGATAAAGTGCCGTGTGCACGAATTTCAAGAGTTTGATGGTTGAACTTTCATCATTTAATTTTGACAACATTTTTGAAACTTGAGAAATAAAAACAATCACATTAAATTTCATACTTCAGCCCGCATTTTTAAGTTGAAGTCAGTGCCTTGATGAATTAGGTTTTGCATCCGCCATGTTATGAGTATCACATAAAAGTGATGTAATAGCTTCTTTGTTGCCTGACATTGAATTTGTTGTCTTGGTTGTAGGAGGAAGTGAGATCCAAAATATCGTCTTTGGAGACTCGGCTGCTCTGTGAAAATGAAGATTTTGACTCATCAACATCTAAAATAGTCAAGCAGAGAGAATTACAGCAGGAAAGGGAAAGGAAGTTCGATTTGCAATATCAACGCACAATGTAAAATCATTAGTTTCTGATATCTTTTCTTATTTGTTCCTCCATTCGTTCCCTTTGAAGTACTGTAATTGGAACTTGAGCTAAATTATACAAAATCATCTGAAAGTAAATAACACTAAGAAAAATATATTCTATGCACCGGTAAAATGGAATCATACATATCAGCAAGTGCTGCCACCGATTATTTTCTTGGAGGAATATGATAGTAATGGAGATAGTCACACCAACTTGTACTTTCCATTTACGGGAAGAAATTTGTACAATTTCGTCCCTATTTCACTAGTGGTTGAAGTGTGGGCTTATTGTTGATTTGAAGAATGTTCCACTGACCTTTCTCTTCTTTAGTGCAGAAGCACTTGATAATCACCTTACCGCTGTGCAGAGGGATCATGAGCACATATCCCAACTAGAAGAAAGAAGAATAAGAGATGATGCTGCTCGCGTGGAGGCTAAAAGAAAAGAGAAGGCTATTCAGGAAGAAAAAATGCGACAAGAAAGAATTAAAGCAGAAGAAGAGGTTTTCCTCCATTTGAATCTCCATTTTATTCAAATTTATTTATCTGATGTTACTGAATATTTAATCATACTTATTTCCTATGTCCCGTCCATTTTTTCTTCCATAATATATTTGCTGGTAATAATAGAGGATTTATTGAGTAATAATGCAGGAAAGACTAAAAGTTGAAAGGGCCGAGAGAGTTAAAGCAGCAGCAATAGAAGCTGAGAAGAAAGCTGCAGAAGAAGCTGCATCCAAACGTGCTGCTGAAACCTTAAGACAGAATGCTGAAAATGTAGTGCAAGATTCTAAGGGAACTCTTGGGCTATCCAATTCTGCATTTGATGTTAAGAAAGGAGCGCAATCATCAGGTTTCTTCTATACTTATCTGCAGTAAGAGTATGTACCTCATTTTCAGTTTCTTATGTATTATTGTTGGCAGGAAGAAATGTTATAAGAGCTTCAGAAAATGCTCTTAAGTTGGAAAAACAAAGAAGTCAGATTTATGGAGAGTTGTTGGCAGAAAACAAGGCTTTTAAGGAGAGCGCAAACCAGGTATATCTTTATGGAGATTGATTCAAATTCTAAAACTCCCGGAAACTTTTTTCTGTGTAATTTATTTTCGAATAGTTAGCTCTTCTAGAATATGTGAAATGTGGTTAAATATTGCTTTCATTTGTGAGTCATCATTGGCTGTTTGTCATGCAGGACTATCAGAGACATGGACAGATTATTGGAAGACAGATTAAAACAGTATCAGCTACAGTAGAAAATGTGAGGTAAGTTGGATTCTATATCCTAACTTTTTGGCATTATACACTGATCTGTAATCTTCCAACTCCTGTAATTTTGTTTGTTCTAAGTTTATATATACATATGCTCTTTAGTAGTTTAATGAGACATTTTTTGGTTCTCTTTTGACCCAGAACAAGAGCAGAAGAATTATTGAAGCTAATTAATAGTCCGCGCTTGCCTCAACCCATCAGTATTCAGTTATTTGCTGAAAAGGTTGTCCGTTACAAGAGTGTACATATTATTGGTTTTGCTTTATTTGCTTCAAATTGTTTTTTTTTT